TAATTAATTAAAATTAATTTTCATCTCATTTTCTCTTTTTATTAGCCACATTTTGGCTACTCAATAGTTACAAAAAGCTAGTGGCTACTGTATTGGATAGCACAGATTACTAAATATTTCCATCATTTCAGAACATTCTTTTAGACAGCACTGCTCTGGAGTAAGGAAGCTCTTGTAGAATGTTCTTTTAATTACCCCAAGAAGATTATGAACACTTGCTGAGAGTCCTATGAGTACAACTTATCACATGTAGGCCTGGTTCCATTCAATCAGACTGAAGCCAAAGGGAGAGGAAAACCACATGATGTCGATTCCTCCTGCAGGATCTTCGGTGAAGTCTCAAGCTGAATATGCATGAAATCCCTACAGAACTCAGGGGCCTATAAAAGAAGGATGACTCATCTCCTAAGATTCATTTTAAAGATGAAGATGAAGTTCAAAATAACAGATTTGAGAATGAAAGCGGAAAGTGAAAGGCTGCTTGGTTTTAATGGTGATGGGAACATTGGAATTTATCACTTATTTGAACAGGTGACACTCATGTTGTCCTTGCAAGTCACTCAACCCTGTTTCCACTTGATAACAGTCCTAGTAAGCACCAGAGCATTTCATTCCTAAATTTGCATTTGAGTTAAAAGAAGGATCTTGTTAATCTAATACCTAATTTGAATTCCACAAGAAAGAAAACATTCTCATGTCAGAATAGGAAGCACTATTATAATAGAATATGATTACATATTTAGGGAAAAATAACAGAAGAATGTAAGAGGAAAGACCAAGGTAGCTCTGGAATTTGGTGCCAAGGTTCACATATACTGTCTTTAGTAAAACAGCAATAGAGGCATTCCAGAGGATCAGGAAAGAGATATAATGAATGTTACAACCCATAGAATTTTCATGGTGCTCATATAACAAGACCAAAATCTGCACACTCTATTGTTTCAACTGTGAGAAAACAGGTGCTGAGACCTACTCAGCACACTGAAAAACAAGCTTTGTCTGCTGCTTGTGGCACAGAGATATTACCCGAATGATCTGTATCTAGAGCCATTTTTCTCTTAAATCAATGGACTGCATAAATCTTAGTCACTCAGAAGGCAACTTGTGTCCATGGAATAAATGGAGAAGAGCACAATAATTCGAAATTTCATTTCCCAAGACTACAAGCTTGCCTTCCTATTTAAACACTAGAATTACTTAGAGAAGTGAATGAAGGAAAAATTAGACCAACTCTACTACTTATACTGCATAAAAAAAAGAATGTTGAGTTGTTTTCCTTTCAACAGGGAAATATGACAGATTAAAATCCTGAAGTCATAAGGAAAATTTGGCATTTTCTTCTGGAACACTGGACTTTTAGGTTCAGAAACCAACTAGTTTATGGTTGAAAGATCAAGCTTTCAGAAATCAGGAAATTCCAAAGTAAGCCTACAGCAGTGCTTGCTTGGATACATTACACATGGTACATATTTTACAGCCCATGTTTAACAAATAGCTGAGAGATGGAAAAAAAAGTTCCATAACACAGCAGAATAAATTTCTATAGCAGAAAGAATTTTGAGATGTTCTGAATGCTACTCTGAGACTTCATATTCCATTAATCTAATTTTAGCAGTTTGTTTTCCTTTTAAAATTTTTTTAGAAAAAGTCATCCCAGTAGAAAAAAATACATGTGTAAAATACTATGTATACCACCACCATATAAATCTGAGAGGTACTCCTTTCCCCTCTTTTGGCAACTCTCTAAAAATCTCATGACACAAATGCTCATTTCCCCCAACTTCAGACCTTAATTTTCTATCTTTGGAACTTAAAAATACTTACATAATTGTCTTCAAATATGGCTTAACTTCTCTTCCTTGATGGAAACAGCACTCCTGCCAACTTTAAAATTTATAGCTACAACCATATTTTTTTAATTTTTAAAAAGCACAAGAAATACCACAACCTCTCAAAGTGATTTTGAAATGAACATTTCTTCATCTTCATAATTATCCCATGTCACACTGAAATGTACTCCAACTCAGGATACAAATGGAAGGAACATTTACCTCTGAGTCTCTGTGCAAAATATTACATTTGGAGATAATAATAGCAACTAAAAAGCACTGTAGTGGCAATCATACTCCAGTTATTATAAATTTCATAACAAAGTGAACCAGTATATCTGGTAATCAAATTCCTCTATGTGTCTGTGTGAGTGTGTATGTATGGCACTTTCTCACTTTTACAGACTACACAACAGTTTTCAAAAGCACTTTCACATTAACTTCATTAGTCTGATCTTCTGACAACCCTGAAAGGTATGTAAGACAAATTATTTATCATTTCATTTGGTAGAGCAGAAAAATGGAGATACAGAAGAGCTAAGGGACTTCCTAAGCCCAAACCTCATCAGTGGCAAATCCTGGGAAAATAACCCACTCTGCTGCCTTGCAGACCAGCCCTTTAAAAGAAAGTTAGATATGTAATTTATATTATATGAAAAATATGCAGAATTGCTGGGTTTCTAAAGCAGTTTGAACAATGCTTCTTTTTTCTCCCCCAACATCTAGAGGTTCATAGTACATCTCACTGCTGGAAAAACGGGGGCAGTCACCTAGATTACAGAGAGACCACACCTCAGGGCTGAGCCTGAAAGTATTTACATTTGCAAAATCACATGCCTTTGAAAATCTAGTTGATAGAATGCTGTGGCCCAAAAGCTTCTGAGGTAGAAACTATTGAAGTTCACTGGGGAAAATTATTCTTGCCACTTATCTTTAAAAATAAATGAAAGGGTAATCTGGGAGAAAAAATGTTTCAAGAATATAGGGGTGAAATTTAAATGGCAGCACTGGTTACAAAACATGTTCAAACCTTGCTTGAATCTTTCCAAACCGATATGATTTTTCCTACGTTTTGTCCTTGAGTTGAGATACCACAACAGGGTAGGGTTGCAGCTTCCTTTACACACTTTTAAGTTATGGTGTCAGGTTTACATCTATGCCTGCTACATTTTTATAAAAAGCGAACTGGCATTTGTAACCAATAAAAATCAGCATTAAAGGCAGCATTCCTGTTATTTCAAATGATTCAAGGATTTGTTTTTCTTTTAAATTCCTCAAGGAGCAAGTGAAGTAAATGGAGAATGTGTCGGTTTAAATTTTTACATGTGTTCCTCCATATTTTTCAATCATTAAGCAAGCTCCTAAAAGACAAAAACAATTCTTTTTTCTTTTTCTTTTATTTTTCCCCCCTAGCAACTAGAGTAGAGCTTGGCACAGGCCACATGCAGTTCACTGACTGTGCTGGAAACCAAACAGAAATTCCCAGGTCCTCCTTTCCAGGCCTAGAGATGGAAGGCATATCAGAGTCTAGGCTCCTCCCCTCTTGATTTTCTAGGACATGAGTGGTGCACATGGTGAGGGCCACGCGGGTGAGAAGAGAAGCATCAGGTCTGTGTGAAATGCCTGTGAAGAAAATACCTCTCTAGAATCTGGGATGGGCAGTGTGGCTAAAAAGACAACTGACCAAAGGAACATATTCATCGCTGCATTCTAACAACTTTACACATAGGTCACAGACAGAAAATAGTTGAGAAAAATTAATCTACCACACTATAGTAATAACACTGGATGCAGAATACATGCACCCCATTGGTTAAGGCATCACAGCTACAGCCAACTTCAGAGTCAATTTTCTGCTGGATAATTGGGCCTTTCCTCCCTAAAACAAGTCAGTGCTTAGTTTAGATCACATGATCGCATATCTGTTTCTTCCAAGTTACTGCAAATTAACTAGTTAGTTTTACTTTTTTGTGTTTGATTTACTTGTCCCTGTTCTTGAATACATCGTTCAAGAAATAGTACATAGGTCCCTTTTTGTATTACATAGAATAATTTTATATACAGTTGATCCTTGAACAATGTGGGGGTTAAGGGTACCAATCCCCAACACAGTTGAAAATCTGCATATAACTTTTGATTCCTCAAAAACTTAACTAATAATAACCTACTAATAATAACTTTTGATTCCTCAAAAACTTAACTAATAATAACCTAGTCAGAGAACTAACTCATAAACAGTCAGTGAACACATATTTTGTATGCTATATAATATGATATACTGTATTCTTATAATAAAGTAAGCTAGAGGAAATATATTTTCAAATTGTCACAAATCTCTGAAAATTTTTCCAATATGTATATTGGAAAAATTGACAAAGATCTGTGTATAAGTGGACCTGTGTAGATCAAATCTATGCTGTTCAAAGGTCAACCATACTTTAGTTGGAACCACTACATGCCACAAATATATCTTAGAGTAAGAATCAAAATTCCTTAAAAGCTAACAAAAACTGGTTCCACTAAAGTAGAGGAAAAAAAATGGTGAGTTCAGGGTCTTGAAAACATTACATGATGAATAACTAAGCATAAGGTCTATATGACAATATTTGTGAACATAGCAATAGAACATTAGAATATAACAGAATACACATATGATAGAATACCAATACATGGACAAGCTTCTGTCAAATATATACAGTTTATAGAAAAGAGCATGTTCATCCAAAACATTACATTTAAGCTCACAAAGGACAGTTTTTAAAAAAAATTGGCTTCTATATTCTGATTTAAGGATGTTAAACTAGTTTATATCCTGTGAACTGCACTTGCTATCTCAAATTTATGTGACAAATTGTTGCCAAACATATTTTAAATGTTCATGCGTTACTGCTTATCTATGGGAGTTCGAGTACAAACTACAGATCATCCAAAAACAATGAGTATTTGAGATACACATGACTTCACATGCTGGACAATAAAGGAGCCAACTGTTTATCAAGAGAACACGGCCCCATGGCCATGAAGTTCAGACCTCCTAAGTGGTCAACTCATTGTTAATCCTGACACAGGATGTACCATCAAAAGGTGGTGGGGTTGCAGTTGAAATTCATAATGTGCATTTTAGACAAACCAGCAGGAGGAATGCATGTGACAATCAAGTGTTTCACGTACTTTGCAAAGCCAATGAAATCTTCGTGGTTGGTGTTGATGTAGGAAACTTGGATGTCTATCAATAGAAGTACCTATAGTCAAACAGAAACACTTCAGTGAAAATCCATCTTAAATATTCTCAACAGTAAACTCTGTAATCACCTACAAATTATTTATCTTCATTTAATTGTTAGAAGGATGCTTCAATTAGAATAAAAAATTGCATTAATTTTTTCATTAGACTTTCATAATTTTTACTTGCAATTTAGATATTAAAAGCCTACGTGAAAAGTCTGAGACCACATGAAGACAATTGCATTGTACTTTAGAGGCATGTATTCTTTGTCAATTCAACACAGAACCTATAATTATTCTATTCCTCTAATACGTAGGCATAATGTTCAAAAGAAGTCACACGTGTAGAGCACATGTAGCAAGAAGCCCAGTGAGGGGCTACTCAGAGCCTACTCCTGTGAACACCATATATTTGCCACAAAATAGCAATATCATCTCTTGTTTTCCTCTCCTCTTCTATTACTAAGGCTCCTGTATACAAGCAGAAGCATCTCATCAACCAACTCAAAAAGACAATATACAAATAAACAGAAAGCCTCTTTGAAATCAATGGGCTTCATCACCAAAGAAAAACTTAAGTCAGGTCTCTAAGATGCCCACCTCCATGGAACCTTCCTTGCCCATTCTATCTAAATTAGCACTCTTAACTTCTTATTCTGTTACTCTGCCTCTGTGTCACTAGCTGACACAGTAAGTTTTTACATATTCAGTGTAAACAGCACCTTACACTGCATCCACTGCTCTTTCTACCTGCAGTGCCTAGAATATCATATGCATTTAATCATGATTTCTCAGGGAAGGCACTGAATGGATGTTCCAATAAACATGAAAATGTTCTAATCAAAAGATACTTATAAACTCCATGTCTGAGACTGGGAAGGTTCCTCTGTAGAAAATGTTCGTCAATGGGAGATAAAGAGACTTAGAACAAGAGGGAAGAGCAGCAACCAGAATCCAGAAGAGTTTTACTCAAAACTGAGTTCTCCTTCCTAAATTTCCTCTTGTTCTCCCAGCTGTAACCCTCGTCTTTCTAGACTTTTTGATGGGGAAAAATACTTAAGAATCCCTGCTTCTATACCCACAGTGCTCTGAGCTTTGCCTCTGCTGAGTGACTTTGTGATGACCGCAGTGTTTCCGCACTGCCTCCTTCTTGGAAGGTGACTCCTGAGTGCACCAGAGCATTCAGGGCAACAGTTCCCTGACACAGTCTCTGTAATGCTCCCCAGTGGGAGCTTCCTCAAGAACGCCTTCCCTGACCCTCATCCCACACCCTCACCCAAGACTAGGCTGAATCATAGTCCATATATCATAATTATATTTTATATGTATTATATCCTACACTTCTTATTTGCAGTGTTTACCACAAATTTAAATAATTATTTGTACATACTTTTATGTTTTACTTTTCTGCAGACTGTAAGCTCCATGAAAGCACAGATTATGTTTGACTCATTCACCATTTTATCCCCAGAACCTAGCCTGATGAATATAGTGAGTGGCCATTAAATACTTGGGGCTGTAAATTTTATAACTATCTACCAGCTTCGAAGAACAGTTTGCTTTAAAAGGAGCAATTCTTTCCCTCATAGTTAGTAAATAGCCACTTACTATTGTTTCCAACTCACTACCCAATGCTATGAGCTCTGAGGCTTTGCTCTCTGGCTAGTCTTAGTTGGTCATCAAACCAAATCTTGCTTTAAGACTCAAGGGGAACTGTCAAAAAGGAGTAAATGGATCACTCCAAACCCATCCCACTACCAAGCATAAAACAAAGGCACAGGTGTATTGGGTCAATAATACCATACTTGCATGAAGAATTTTAATATAATCAGATACAGTTTTGTTTCTTCTCTAATAAAGAAAACTAAAGAGTTAAAAGAAGTGATCATTGTTAGATTATCTGTGGTATTGCTCTATTCTCTGTACAATAAAGCCAGATTGTGTTAAATGTTACACTCCCAAGGCTATTTGGCCAGGAGTTTGTATCAATAAACCATAACACGCAAGCACAAATAAATTATTGCTACCATAAAGAGCAAATTATCTACATAATTCTCACCACTGCTAAAGGTTGTCATGAATATCTTGGGCATTCACACACATTAACTTGGACTGCAGTATAGGAAAAAAGTAGAAAAAAAAATTCCTGGAAACTGGGAATCTGTGTTCATCCTAGGAAAAGAGCCAGGTCACATGTGGGGGACGACAAGGAAAATCATACATTTTTTTCTTATTTCTTTACTTTCTCAGGGTTTCTCACTGCCTTTTTCACCCAGAAATTGAACATTTAGTTGAAGAACAGTAAAGCCACCTCTGATAGCAGTAATCACCCACAAACTCAACCACTTTAACATCCAATTACCTATATAGAAGTACCTGGTATAATAGCAGGTGTATGCAGATATTCAAAAAACTTTTGTTTCAGTAAAAAGTTCACAGATTTATGGCTTTCCATAATTTTTATTTTGAAGAACCTCCCCCATCTCCGAACAGAGCTTCCAGAACAGAGTTTAGTAATAATACCATTTCAAAAAAACTGAAGAACATCTCAAAACAGTTCTGGTACACAGACCTGAGGAAATGGTCCCTCTCTGACTACTACATCAAAAGCACCACATAGCCCACAATAGCACAGACCTCTGAACACAAACATGAAATCTATGCAAACTGGCATGATCACATGACCAAAACACACATGCCTACTGTGCCACACAAACCCATGGTAGAGACGGCAAGCAGCAGGCTCTGCAGGCAATTGATTAACTATCATACTAGGCCACCAGAGATGGTCATGTAGAAGGCAGATACCCTCCCATCCCTTACCTCCCACTTGGGGAATGAATTAATCACTACATTAGAAGATGATTTCCTTTGAGGTAAAACAAAGGCAATTCTTTCTCACACCTACTCTGTGTCATAGCTCTCAAGGAACAACAACAAAAAACAACTAACATTAATGAAGAACTAAAAGCTGTATTTGTATTACTCATTTCATCTCCACACAATGCTTTTGACTTAGCTACCATTCTTACCCCACTTTAAGGGGAGGAAACTGAGGTATAAAAATGTCCAGTACTTGTTCACTTACATAGAATGCACATGGAAGAACTTGGATGCAAATTCAGGCAGTCTGACCCTAGAGCCCACAATCTAATGACGATGCCTAATTCGAGTGTGTTACTTTAGTAAAACAAAAACTGAGAAACATGAAACATGAATAACTAACCATCAATTTAGATATGAACACAAAGATAATTAAAGTAATTGTACCACTTTACTTTTCCTCATTGTTGTTTTTACATAGGATCCTCACAAGTTAAGTAAGACATATTATCATTTGAATTTTATAGAATAAAGACATTAAATTAAAACAGTCATCTGATTTACTTAAGGTTAGGAGTATATTTGATACTAGCCCATGGTTTTTTTCATCCAGTGGCAGCCATGACAGATGTGTGTGGGGACTTCTGGCCTTTGGGGTTATATCTGGCCCTAGGCTTGATTTCACTGGCTCATGAGTAAACATTGATTTGATTATCTCCACTAGGTCACAAAGTCTATTTTCTCCATCTTTACTTATAGCTATCCAAGATTGTGGAAAGTAGGAAATAATGGCTAATTAACTTTCAAAGACAAGGATAAAAAGTAGTAGCTAGGAACCCCACAGCTCAGGCAGACAGCAGGTTGTTACTGGAGTTATTCACAAATGCCCCAGCTTGCAGGCCCTCCATTCTTCTCTCTTCACCTTCTTCCACCCACCCGAGCCCTGCATACACCCTCTGTTGCACATTGCATAGGTCTCTCTCCCTGTGGTTTGTCTCTCACTTTCTCTTTTATTTGGCCTTCTTCCTTTTCCCTAGTTCTCTCTCCTCCATCCCAATTCACCTGAGAACCACAAAATCTGGGGTTTCTAACTGCGAGTGGGCTTCAGAGATTGTATAGAAGACCATAGATGAAATCCTAGTGTTGCACATAAGAAAACAAGTCCTGAGAAATGATCTGCACAAGAGCATGCTGTTACCTTGTGCAGAACACACGGTCTGAGTCGTGTCCTTGCTGTGCTGTCACCCTCTCAGGTGTAGCCTGGAACTGAAGAGCATCTGAAAACCTATGTGTTTCCCATTCTTTCTTATGTCTTATTAATAAGAAGAAAAAATATCCACCCAAATTTAAGAAGTTTTTATTTTCATGTAGTCTTTAATTTTTTTAAATAAATTATCTTCACTTGCAAATAATCTTTCCAATTCACCAAACTAGGTAGGATTACAAGACAATTTCAAGGTCATTCCTTACAAATCATAAACATTTACAAAATATATAAATGTTTAAATGTTTAAAAGAGCTGTTCTAAAACTTTTTTTCCCTAATCATAGATTCTATGAACAAGCTTATGAATAGCTTTGTCTATTCTCCTCAGGAAAAAAAAAAAACACTGAACACTTTAAATAACATTTTAGGAATTTATGAATATCCTGGAGCCCATATGTAGGCCCATTAAAAGTTAAGAACCTCTGTCTTAAAGAAAAAATGTGGTATGTTCTGGATTAGTGATTTTTAAAGAGGGGTATGTACATGCTAGGGGTGCACATGGTGATCCATGGCATGCGGCGGAGGAAAACAAATAATGGAGTCCTACTACTGCTTTTCAAATTCCATCCTCCTAAAGTCTTAATATTTAATATTTTTAACATACACAAGGTGTTAGCAACACACATATAAAATCCATAAGTAAGTAAAAATAAACATATGTGGTTGTGTTCCCAGCTACTTTTCCCATTCAGGGTCACACTGAGTCTTGGAAACTGCCCGACAGCCTTGGGGAGACCTTCGCTTCCCACAGGACCCTGCCCACAGGGAGGAGGGGGCCGGGGGACCTCTCCTCACCTGGTCCTTTGTCTTCCCCTCTCGCTCGCGAATGTGGTTAGCAACAATCCTCTCTGTTTCCTCACAGAGTCTGGGGAAGTTGGCCAGCTGTCATGAAAAAGAGATCTGAATGTTAACTTCAGAAGTTGTATCACAAAAAAATAAGCAGACATAAATCATGTTATCTTACAGAAGATACGCTTTTTTAAAATCTGGAAGCAAAAATGAAATATCCTTAAGAGGTATGGCAGAGTGACAGAAGAGGCTCCACAAACTATACTCAGAAGTAACTACATTATCTGAAAGGAAACACATAAAAACCAGCAGATATATTCCCTTCAAAGAAATCAGAAGCCCAGATACCATCAAAGCACTATGCTCTACAGAGTTGGCACTTGATTAAGTTCAAAGATGAAAAAGATAGAAATGAGAATGAAAAAGAGGATAATTACTAACATTTATAGAGTGCTTACCATGTTTCAGGCTATGCACTAAACACCTCAAGAATTGCCTTATTAAAAGTTCATAACAATCATAAAGACAGATCCTCTTATTGACTCCATTTTATAGAGGAGGAGAGAGGAGCACGGAGAGGTTAAGTAATCTGCCCAAGCCTAGACAGCTCAAAATCCATGGGTCCAGGATTCCAACCCAAGCCCTGGGACTCCAGAGCCCATGGTCCTGCCATGGCTCAGGAAAAGAAAACACACTAAAATGCACTTTGAGGATGATTCATTCCATGAAACACAGAGATAATTTTTTGTTTAATTCTCTCCTAACAGATGTGTTTGTTTGTGTGTACATATTTTTTAGCAAAACTGTAGGAATCACTCATTCCATCGTTAAGGAGGTAATTGTCCAGAATAGAGCTTGCAAAGTAAATGAATGAATGAAGTAGTTTTCCATGTAAGGAAGATAAAGAACTGGGTGCTATCTGGATGTTTAAGAAGCAGGTCTAGAAGGAGGTCTTAGGTAAAGTTGTGTGAGGATGACTGTGGGGAAAATGGAGCCTGTCAGGTACAGGAACATGTGTGAGACACTAGAGGACAGGGATGATGAGTGGTGACAGAAGTAAAGAAAATTCAGAGTGAGGAGGATGGCCTTGAAGCAATGCTAGAAAGGAAACTGGGAGAGGTCAGGCCGACCCTTACAGACCTGTAGGAATTTTGACTACTGAAGCATTTCAGATGGGATATGATGGTAGCTTGGAACTGGGATGGCAGCAATAGAAAGGGAGAAAAGTGGGTGAATTCATGGCTTTTGAAAGGTAAAAGGTGAATTCCAATTATAAAAAGCACTTGCAAATTAATAAGAAAAATATTAATAGCATATTAAAATAGGCAAAAAACATGATTTAATTAAAATGAAATGCCATGGTCAATAAGCAGAAAAAAATATTAAGTTGCACAAATGATCAAAGTGTTTCAAAGAAAGATAATGACATGTTGTCAAATTGCTGTAATNATATATATGTCTGTCAACCTAATTACTTCATGGTATTCTGAGCTAAAATCAGGACATTCATCACAGCATTACTTGTAATAGCAACAGCACAACAAATAAAACTCTATAAACCACCTATGTATTAATGATATTACATAAATTAAGGTAGAAAAAAATCCACTAATGGGATGTAATTAGCCATTCCAAATAATATCTAATTTTTAATATCTAATTTCTAAATAATATCAAATAACATGGCAAGGTTTTATCTAAGTGAAGAAAATCAGGCTACTAAATACACAATGCAATTATAAGCACACACACACATAGTTACAGCCTACCATATTCCACAGATATCCTTCAGGGATATAGCCTAAGGCCTTACAAATTTCAAAATTCTTGAGTAATAATGTAGCATATAATATTTCCCATAATTTGTAAGCAGTTAGAACTAAGTCTCCCTGAGATATGGCAGTTCCCTGGTCACCGGGCACACCAACTTCATAGTATGCATAATGCGCATTAGTGTCTTAGCAAGACAACAAATGGCATTAACTCATAGAACCATCATGATTACAAATCACATATAACGTTAAATCTCCTAATGCTGTAGGTCCACTGTCTATGCACAGAGAAAGATCATCAGAAATAGTATAAATGTTAATCTCAATAACCTCTTTGAATGGTGGGATTATGCATAATTCTAATTTTTCCTATGTACTTCCCCACATTTTCTAAATTTTTCTACAGCGAATACAGAGTGCTTTAATAGGATCATAAAAGTTTAGAAACCTGGCTGCCTGGGTCACCTCAAAAACCCCAGCCCAGTGAATACTGAGACATATGCTTGTTTGGGGGCTTATTTCGTGAATAACTGCAAGATACAAATGGAGTTTCCATAAGTCTTAGAAATACTTTTCAGGGAAAGTTCTACCATCCTGAATGCCCTTTCGTACTTTGAGAATATTGCAAGTTATTTTTTGGGAGTCCTAAAAGAGGTCTTTAAGTATAGAAGATATTAAGGATAGCTGATCAATATCAGCCCTTCTTCCTGTATACTGCAAACCTCAGTGATATATCTGGCACTAGCCACTAGTCTGCCCACGGCCACCAGAGCAACTGTTTCTCCTCTGCAACCCAACCTATCAGTGCATAATTGCTTTGTGATGACAGCCCCACTAATACAGAATCAGGCTTCTGGAGAGAAGTGGCAGCACAGGCAGCAGTGGTCTGCTGAGGAGCAGGGGACTGCCTGTAACAGCATTTAGAAAAAGGATTACAGCAGAAGGTTATTTTTAAACACCAAAGAGTGGCAATATAAATATTTATTCAGAAACTGAAACACTTGATAGCTGAGGGACCCCAGGCTAGTATGCAGCCATCATTAAGTCAGGGAAAGGCCCAAATGACAAGCAATCCCATGAAAGAGAAACATATACGAACCCTCCAGTCTACTGGCCTTGCTTGGCAAGAAGACTGATTGTGTGTGTGTGTGTGTGTGTGTGTGTGTGTGTGTGTGTGTGTGTGTGTCCTGATCTTTCCAAGCTTACTATCCATGGACTTAATTTTGCCAGAAAGGGAATGTACCAGAACCATAATTCTGTACCTATGAGTGAGACAACTGGAAATAAATAAGCCTAAATCCTAAGTAGAAAAAGGAAAAGAAAACACACTAAAAAACTGCCCTCATGGAGTCAAAGGAGGAAAAATACTAAGGGAGACAAGGCAGTGCAAGACCAGGGTGTTCTGGAAAAGCAGTAGTGAGGCTAGTGTGATTTCTAGCTGGTGGATCTTGGAAAACTTGGAATGCAAAAATGAAAATGCTGGCTTTAACTGCTGACTCTCTAGTACCAATTCTTCTTATAATGCACATTGGAAGAAGGCTAAAAAACATCCCACTGACATTCAAAACGATTTCTGATGAGGCTTTCTGCCCCTTGTTTCTTTAGCTCATCAACTGGAGTCCCTGCTCAGTTTACACTTAAAAGATACTCAACTCTGATTGCTCAGATCAATCCTTGCCTTTCTTCTATGTCTCCTATTTAAGGTGCAATCAGTGTCCTCAACTACTTAAATCATTATAATTTTCTATCTCTTTTGCTCTAGATGCTGAATTAAAAGCCTAAAATTGTAAGAATGTGTTAAGTTTGTCAGTCATCAAAATTGTAATCACATATGCCAAAATAATATTGACCTAGAAAACACCATCTTTAGACTTTTATTCCCCTATTAATTATTTAAATATTCTATAAGTTGATTTATACAGGATCCAGGAATTACAGCTTTGCTATTAGTTATAAGAATTTTATATTCCTAAATTTATTCACATCAGTCATTCATTTAACACTCATCGAGCAACTGCCCATAGGCAGTTTATGCTCAGTTTGTCAATGCACTTGATATCAAAAAGCTCCTAGTCTTGAGCAGCAAGTTGACTGTTAAGATAAATTGTCATACTAGAGAGTACTATTTTATAAGAAACAAGGAAAAACACAAAGAAATAAATGGCTAAACCTGCTCTGAGAAGGCCTCAGAAGATTTGATGTTGAGACAATGACATGGGAGCTTCCAGGCAGAGATGAACATTGATTAAATGGCAAATTACTTCTAAACAACTTATTGTTAAAACAGCATTGAATATTTTTAAATAATGACAATTCAATGCAGAAACAATACAATTATATATGACTTTAGGAATTAAAACTAAATAATTCTTAGAGAAATTTTTAAATATGCATGTTCTGAAAAAAGGGTATCATAATTTTTTAAAATATAAAACATTTTAATAAAATTTAATAGATTAAGTGTTATTTAGTGTAGTGCTTAATTATTTTGGTGGAACCTCAATACAAAAATTTACTTTTAAGGCTGGACCACATTTTCCCCTAAGGGAAAAAAATCACTTGAAAGACATTTCTGTCCAGTAAGACAAAAATTATAGACTTATGCAATTTATTAACCATTGATTAATGAGATCATGAGAGCTATGCTATTAGGTTTTTCCTGGAACAGGCACAAGACCAGGCAAAATTTCTATACCTTCAACAGTAACTAGTACATGCCTTAAGCAAAGACTCAGTTTATTAGGTAACCATCTGCTCATAGTTTTATACCAAATATCACTGAGAAAATAAACTAAAACCAGAACAAAATTTCTTTTATGCACATGAATTGAGTTGATTGGTTTGGCTAACCTAAAGATATGGGTTCTGTTTTTATCAAAAAGCTATAAACCTTCCAATGTTGACCCTTCACTATAAAGTAAGAAGCAATAATGATTTTACTCTTCTTAAAAGCATACAGTAATTTATTCCATTTCCATACATTAAAACCTACCAAAAACCCCCATTTATCCTTTATTTACATATAGCATAATATTGCATTTATTCAAGAGATGAAAAAATACTTATCTGGGCACAACACATTTATTAGGAAAAAGGAAAGACAGAAACATTCACATTCACAAAGGTGAACAAAGATGAGAAACAATTCTAGTAAAAAGAGATCAAGAAATTACACAAGGGTAAATGGCAAAATTTTTGTATCAAGTGTTCTTTAGGAGTGGCAGATGGGAAGTCTTGGAAGGCCTAAGTGAAGCTGGTAGAAGAGGGAAGGGAGCCAAGTCACATACATCCAGATGGCCCTATGTAAGGTGGTAAAAACAG